TATTTCATCCCCTTATTTCATCATTAGAATAATTCAAGTTCTCCAAGGAAATTATCCACCTTATCCATATATATAATTGCATAATATGTTAAGCCTAAGTTGCAGACTTGCACGCTTCGAAATTTTATGTGGCAAAAAACCATGCTTCATAGCTAGGCTTGGATAAAAATTAGAATTATTTGTAAAATAATACTTAGGCTTGGATTCCATAAAATATCTATATTATTCAATTAAATCTGTAATTGATCTCTTCCTTATTTTCTTATACAATTAACTACCATAAACTATATTTTAGGTTTTCTTTTCCTACATAACCATATATTAAATTTGCTTTTATTGTTTAGTTCATACACCAATTATCATAAATGTGTCTTCTTATTTTATTATTTTTTTTTTATATTTTATAACTTTCTTGTTTGTATTTTATGTTTTATGTACGATATTTTAAATTAGTTATCTTTTAAAGATTTTTGATTTGACCTCCATTTTACATTTACAAAGTACAAAGCAGTGATATGTGTCCTTATAAATAAAATTTAAATTGATTATTCAAACTAAATTAAAAATATAGAAAAGCTACAAATTATTTTTTGAAGCAGTAGAAATTGATTTATATTAACATATCATATAATATTTATTTTAATTGAAAAGAAGCATTAACATAAAATAAATTTAAAAAATATTTTAAAACTTATGTCTCAATTTAAATAAAGACTACAAAGAAATTGAACATTATAAAGATCTTAAAAAATAATATTAATTATAATTTAAAATAATTATTATATTTCATAATGTTTAATACACGTCATATTTTGAGTTATTGGATATTATAAAATTTAAGATATTTAAAAATATAATTGATGAGGGAAGGAAATTTTGTATATAAAATATTAATTAAACTTGGAAAAAATTTAAATTAATTCAAAATAAAATTAGTGAGTTATAGAATATATATATATATATGTATGTATGTATGTATATATGTGTGTGTGTAAAATATTGAAAAAATATCATTTTAACAAACTGAGTGTACAATATATGTATTATTTTAAATAATTAACTTTGTTAATTTTTGAATTATTAATTTTATAATTATTATTATTTTTATCATTGACCGCGCGTCGCAACGCGGCAAATCTATATTTATAAAATTTTCCTCGACTTACCCCTACCAACTAGTAGTAGTGGCGAGCA